GAGAGAGACATACAAGGAGGGAGTTGTACCCTCTACAGTAGAGTTCGATAACCTACCAAGCCTACAATTATATAACAAATATAATTTAACACACCCCCTAGGCTTGGTAGCGGCAAGCCCACCTCACACACAGCACACCACACAACCCATAGCACCCCCATACTCAACAGCAGCGACAACTACTTCAGCATGGTCAACCCCACGGCGCGTAAGGTGGGGCGACGTAAACAACGAGGGCAACGGCTGCAACGGCGGCGACGGCGTCAGCGTCGACATCGGCGACGGCGGCGGCGGCGGCGTGCGGCGGCGTGGCTAGCTGCACCAGTTGCGATGGCGGCGGCTTCGACGACAGCTGCCGGCGGCGGCGGAGCTCGCAGCACTCGGCGGCGTGGCCGGGCTCCAAGACGGTGGGACGGCCGGCGCGAGTAAGCCGTCGGCTGCGGCAAGGAAGATGGGACGCAGGGGAAGGGGGGCAGGGCTTCAGCAGCGGAGCCCGGGAGCGTGCCGCCCCATGTGGTGCGCTGGCTGCATGCGGGCGTGCTGGCCAGCGCTAAGACGGGGCGCTGGCCGCTGCAGTCCGTGCGCTGTCGCGTAGACGCCGCGGCAGCGTGACGGCGCCGTCACGCCGCGGCAGCGTGACGGCGCCGTCACGCCGCCACGGCTTGACGGCAACGCCGCGACAGCGCGACGCCACGGCAGCGCGTCGCGACAGCCGCGACAGTAAGACGCGGTCAGCGGCACGACGACGCGGCCACAACAGCTTGACGCGGCCGCCATGGCAGCGAGAGAGAGAGAGAGAGAGAGAGAGAGAGAGAGAGAGAGAGAGAGAGAGAGAGAGAGAGAGAGAGAGAGAGAGAGAGAGAGAGAGAGAGAGAGAGAGAGAGAAAGAGAGAGTGAGAGAGAGAGAGAGAGCGAGAGAGAGAGAGAGAGAGAGAGAGAGAGAGAGAGAGAGAGAGAGAGAGAGAGAGAGAGAGAGAGAGAGAGAGAGAGAGAGAAACAAGCACGCGACGGAAGCGTGGGGAGCAGGCCCGGGAAGGGCGACCTTCTCTGTTACCATGTCACAAAGCTAGGTTAGCTAGGGTGGTAGGCGGCCATGAAATGGCGAGAGGTTTAGGATCTATGAGCTAGGAGAGAAGCTTGAGGAGAGAAAAGAGAATGAACTAGAAGAGAGAGAGGCATACAAGGAGGGAGTTGTACCCTCTACAGTAGAGTTCGATAACCTACCAAGCCTAGAATTATATAACAAATATAATTGAACACTCCAAGCATCCTAGCACAACCATTCCAAGTTCTCTAGCAAGACCTTATCTCATCATTACGTGCCCATAACTCATGGCATCCACGTGTGGACGTTTTCATATCGATTTTTTGTTCTCTGTTAATAGAAACTTAACATTCTTTTCTATTTTATGCAGGATCCTTCTGATTCCGTTTGGCCCAGCTCTCTACCCACGCGCCCATTCTGTCTCTAGGTAGGTTGCTATGTTCATTACCAGCTGAACTTTTTTTTTTTTTCCATGTTAGTTGAAATTGAAGTGCACAAACTAATTTCAGGCAATTCGCTTTCGAATCTGCCTGACCTTGCGGTCTGGTAATCGACCGTCAAGGTGCCATCCTGGGTTTACTGGTTGGCTCAATTCCCTTTTCCCAAAGTTTCATTTGCTCGATTGTGTGTTGCTTGTTTCTCACGATTATTGACAGAAGCTCTTGTCGTGTCGTCTGGCACAGCTGTGTGCAGCTTCAGGATTGGTGAGTGTTGAAGATCGATTCACACGAACTGCAGCTTATTTCCTTGCGTGTTGAATGATTTGTACGCGTTAATTAAACACTATTTGTTCACCTTATGTTCACCACGTCTTATTTAGTGGGTAGCCTCAGCTGGTAGGGGCAAGCACCCAAGTTCGATACTCATTGACATGGTTAATTGTTTTTTTCTAGTTCCTCTGTTCGTTCTATGCGAATTTCATTCCATTCTAATATTGGGACTAGGGTGGTCACTCGGGTACAATACACATTGTCACCTAATACAGTATGTGTCGCTTTTTCTATATTTTGTTATGTTGTTTGATTCATTTTATAATAAAATATACTATACATCTTGGAGTTCTTCGTTTAGCAGCTCTTCATCTGGTTGGTAAGGTGATCTCTCGGGTTCCATTCCCACTGCTCCTCAAAATTGTCTCTTTTCTCTGTTATGTTTTATTGTAATTTTTAATGTTTTTATAGGAATACTTTGTGTTGGCCTAATGTTGTCTCTGTTCGCTCAGTGGTCTGGTCAACTTGGGTAATGCAAACACTCAGATTCGATAACCCTTGACAGAATTTTCTTCGTTTCCAATTTTCTTGAGCTGTGTTACCTTTGTGAATATTACGTACAGCCAATTTCTTGAGTTATGAGGACCAGAGGTTCACTGTGTTCATTGGCTTGGTGAGCAGCAGGGTTTGGTACCCATGTCCTTTTTTTTTTTTTTTTTTTGGGACTGTTTCTTCTCTGATTTCTGCTATTGTTTGTTTTTCGATTGAGTTTCATTTAATTTTTATGTCCCGTGAAGTGCAGACTGTTTCTTGACTTGTTTGATCGAGCGGTCTGCTCGATCGAGTTTGGCTTAGGTAATTATCTGGTTTCGAAACTTATTCTCACCTAATAGGCTCTAATTCTCACTTTTCTTATGTTATTTGTTCTATGTGAATTTTGTTATATTTTATGCTTACATCACGTGTAGGGTGTTATGTGGCTCAGCAGGCTGCTCAATTGTGTGTCTCTGGCAAGGTGAGCACCTATAACGATGTCTTCCGTGTTTCGTTTTGCTCTCTTTTTCTTCTTGTTTTCTACTATTTGTTTGATGTGAGCTTGATCTTGTTTATGGGTGAACGTTTAGTGCAGACTATTTCTTGAGTTCTTTATATTGAGCAGTCTGCTCGATCGGGTGTGAGTCAATATGATCACCCGGGTTTGATACCTCTGGCAATTGATATGGTGTTTCCTTATGTTTTCTTATGTTATATGTTCTGCGTGAAATCTATTGTGTTTTATGATGTTTTGTACAGGGTGCGTTTCGGGTCCTGTAGCTCATCGGTTTTTGTACAAGCTGAACGTCAGGGTTCGATACTCATCGCTTTTAATGTACGTTTTACTTTGTTTTCTTCTGTTGTTTGTTCTATGTGAGTTTCATTCTATTTCTTTCTTACCTCTAAATTTCGTATAGGGTGTCTCTTGACTTTGTGTGGCTTAGATGTTGTCGTTTGTCTGTTTGGCTGCCAAGGTGATCATTCAGGTTCGATATCCATAGTCACCGAACATGTAGGGTTTTAGTGTTTAGGTAATATTTGATACCCACTGTCACTAATTCGACGGTACGTAAATTCTTGTTTCCCCAATTGTGCAGTCCCCACAGCAGCAAGTGCGGCTCTCGCTTTAAAGTACTGGATTTTCGTTTCTTCAAGTGAGGCATTGGTCGTATCCTTGAGATGCCTCCAAAATGGAAAAGCGAATCCGCAAGGGAGAGGTTTAAGAGGGAGGCTGAGAATAAGAAGAGAAAGAGTGAATATTATGCGAAGGGAGGGACGGGGATAATGCAAGGCGGAAAGTTACTACTAGGTGGGGGTAGGGTGCTTATGAAGGGAGGAGTCCTTCATTTTATGAGACATAGGGAGTTTCGAAGTCTGATGGAGGAAGAGCGTGCAAGTTATACTCTTCCAAATGGTGACAAAATTGAGTCGACTAATAGAGACATCCCGAACGATGCGCTGAAAGGATCTAATGAGTGTGAGGATGTGAAGAGTATTGATAAATAGAAGTGCTATGATTGCAAAGTTGTTTTTTGTGTATGGATTATTTAGATTGATGTACATGATTCTTGATCAACGAAATGTTAAAGCATGAATTATTGAAACTTATATTTTCGCTCTATCTAATTATTGTGTTACATTTTTTCCAAAATCTACATTGAGCAGGTCTGAAAGTGTTCATCGCTGTTGAAACTCGCATCGAAACATATTGGAGAGCGTGGTGGGTGAGGGAAGTGTGGTGAGCCGGTAACCTCTCGTTACAACATGGGATCCGATTCTTCTGCCCGTATGATCTTTATAGGAGTGTCTCTGCTTGGTGAGTTGAGGCGAGAATTTCGATTTCTTCATAAAACTGTGAGTGGCGATGGGGCATGCTTGTATAGATGTTTGGCCATCGCAAACTCCAGCGATGAATCATCGTGGGACACTTTGAGAGTAGAAATAACACTTTACGTACAAAGCAACTGGTCAACTTTTGCAGAGGAGGTTAAAGGATGTCATGGTTCACATCTGGATAGCCCCACAAAGTACCGTGAATTCATTAAGTTTGATCACGTATGGGGCAAAACAGGGACCATCCTTCATCAATTGAGATTTTAGGATGTTCTCGTGATAACCTCAGAATAGACGACATACTACATGATCCCCCTATTGTTAACCAGTCGTCAAATGGCACACGTACCCAAAAGGGAAAACATAATATTAATGAGTTCGATGGTCGAGTAGATCCCAATGGTGTTATTAGTTTTACGCTCCCAGATAAACCTCTCGATGAGTCAAAAGTTATCGGCATTGTAGAGCACAAGGGTTGTTTTGCGATAAGAATGATGCTAAAGGGGAAGAAACTATTCATTCTGGGCTTTGAATCGCAAGTATCGAAGGTGACTGTATCTGGTCCGAGGGCACCCACGACTACGAAGGACGACACGTTGACCAATCGACCAATCGTGGGGTACGATTGGTCCATCGTATCAGAAAGTCAACGTGTCGTCCTTGATCGTCGATACGAATCCGATGGCTCAAAATCTTCGAAGTCTCGATGGTCGTCTCAGCTGGTGGCCGTACATCCGGGACCAATCGCTGTCGGGCGATGTCCGATGTGTCAGGTACGAAAGGTCGCAACAGGCTCACGTGGAATTTGTTGTGAATTCACCAGTCATCAGGTAGGCGTAACTGGGCGGTCACCGGCGTCACCATCTTCATGATCTTGAATGGGCCACAGAAACGTGGTCGTTATTTCGTCGGTAATGGCAGTCGTAAATTCTTGGTGTCCAACAGGACTAGTTGCCCTGCTGCCATTGTAATATCCCGTCGATGTAAATCTGCATACCGTCGGGCAGTAGCGTTTGCCTTACGAATAAGTTCGACAGCTTTGTCTCGAGCAGTCTGTAACTCTTCGACGAACTGCTGCGAGCGTGGTACTTGACTCTCAACGTTGGTGGAGACGGGTACGGTGGGGTCCATCCCGTAATTGAGATAGAACGGGGAGTGATTAGTCGTAGCCGAGGGCGCGTTGTTGTAGGAAAATTCCAACATGGGCAGCACGTCCTCCCATTTTTTTCGGTCGGGGCAGTTTGTCCGAATCAGCTGCTCCATCGTTTGATTTGTCCTTTCCGTCTGGCCGTCCGTTTGGGGATGATACGCGGATGAGAACTGTAGACGCGTGCCGTACCGAGCCCATTTGTCCTGCCAGAATTTCGATGTGAACTTCGGGTCTCGATCACTAATGATTGCTGCTGGTATCCCATGTAGACGAACAACGGTCGAGATGAAAAGGCGCGCTGTTCTTCGGCTGTGATGGTTTACGACATGGTGCGAAATGCGCCATTTTCGTCAATCGGTCGACGACAACCAAAACTGTGTCGTTTCCACTGGGTCCGGCCGGTAGTCCCTTAACAAAATCCATCGTTACGTGTTGCCATGGGCGTTGAGGTGGCTCGAGGGGCTGCAACAGTCTTGTAGGTCGCTGGTGTGATGACTTCATTCGCTGGCAGATCGGACACGCGGCCACGTAACACTGCACGTCCGTCACCATATCTGGCCAGTAATAAAACCACTGCAACACCTTCGGAGTTTTATCAAGGGAAAATACATCGGCGCTCAGTATTAGAGGCCTCGATAACATGAACGGTCAGTGACACGACACAAACAATCAGAATTAGTGAGTTTGCAATATGTTTCATCAGTCGAGTTCCACCGTTAGTCAGAAACTACAGGAAAAAAGTTCCACGAATGGTCAGTAGAAGTAACCCTCGCCCGTTTCGGAACGTTTTCCCGCCCGCGCCAGCCCGATTTCGTCCCCATTGTGGCTGGCGCAATATTTTTCCCGAGGTCCAAGCGCAGTTCGAGCGAAAAAACACAATATGCCCAAATTAAAATTCGTTGGACATTTGTTTGTCGAGAAACACGAAAACACGATTTTGTTTCGAAGGGCATACTTTTGTCACAGAATGTAGCGCGTCTCGCGATGATAAAAAATGGTGGCTTTGTCTCTACCGCATTTACGGCCCCCAAAAAAAGTCAAGCCATAAACGTGTTGTCATTCCCGAGTCGCCCGAAAACAAAAGGATATATAAACAGCTACGGAGGTTTATTTTCGGGAAATGAATATGTTAAAACACTTCAAAGTACTCTCAGAACCGCATTTAATTCTGTATTAATTTCAATACAATGAATCTATTTGAAGTCTGCTGGTTGTCTTTTGATTTTTTCAACAAATGTATTTACCGGAAAAAATTTCCGCCGAATTACGAGTCTACAAGTCTTGTCATGCTCGAAACAAATTGGCGCACGCGCACTACAGTTTAATTTTCACGCCTCATTGGCTTAGCTCCGATCCCGGATAGATTTTCCCTTTCGTATCTTTTTTTTTTTTTTTTTTTTTTTTTTTGCGTTTGTTAATGTTTGAACAATGTCGCACCCGATGTGCGGCCTGCTGTGACCCAATTAGCTTATGTGAGAGAAATGCGCGAGGTCTCAATTTTGGAATTTTGTGCGCGACGTCCAAAGATTTTTAATTTGGGAATACTTTACGTAGTTTTCTCGAACTGCGCCTGGAGCTTGAGAAAAATATCGCGCCAGCCACAATGATGACGAAATTGGGCTGGCGCGGGCGGGAAAACGTTCCGAAACGGGCGAGGGTTACTTCTACTAACCATTCGTGAAACTTTTTTCCTGTAGTTTCTGACTAACGATGGAACCTGACTGATGAAACATGTTGCGAACTCACTAATTCTGATTGTTTATATCGTGTCACTGACCGTACATGTTATCGAGGCCCCTAATACTGAGCGCCGATGTATTTTCCCTTTTATCAACCCCGAAATGTCCCGATAAATTCGAATCGTGGACTTCTTGAATTACTAATTCGCGAAGTAGACGATAACTTGGGACCCAAATTCGATATGTTCCGCTTGGTAAGTAATAGACGCCTTTCCGTGTAGTGACTGGGAGATGGCCTTCATTTACGAAGAACGGGTCAGTCGAATACCCGTGGATAAATAGTCCACTCAGTAGCGGGTTGCTCTGGGCGACTAGTATTGCTGCGAGTTGGGCAGATGGTCTGGAGAGGGCGTCGGCAATATTGTTGGCGCCTTTTTTATACGTGATCTTGTACGTGAAATTGGACTCCAGATAGTCCAGCTAGCATATCTTCCGCGGGTTGAGATTCGGCTGCGCTCTCAAGTACTGTAGTGATTTGTGATCGATAGCACCTCCAGATTTTGAACGCGTGGACGATCACCAACATCTCCTTGTCGAGTACTGGGTAGTTGCGCTCAGCAGATTGCATTTTCCGAGACTCGTACGCAATTGGTTGAAGCCCATTGCCGAAATCCTGCATGAGCACTGCTCCGATGGCGATGTCACTTGCGTCGGTGATGACTTCGAAGGGCCGTTCCGGGTCAGCGATGCGAAGGACCGGTGGCGACATTAAAAGATTTTTTTATGCCTCGAACGCAGCTTACTGCTTCTCCCCCCACTCGTAGCAAGTCCCCCTTTGCAGTAGGTCGGTTAGAGGTCCAGTTAACCCCGCCGTGTTGGGTATAAACCGCCGCACGTAATTCATGAAACCCAGAAATGATTGCAGCTGCTGCAGATTTGTTGGTGGTCTCCATTCCTGAATAGCCTAGAGTTTTTTCGGGTCTATCCGGATCCCCTCCGTGGAGATCACGTGCCCCAGAAACTCCAATTCTTGTTTTAAAAACTCGCACTTGGAGCCCTTTGTGATGAGACGATGCTGCTGCAACCGCTGAAAAACTGCGTCCAAATCCTTTAAATATTGCTCCCGGGTCTTGCAGTAGATCAGAATGTCGTCCAGGTAAATTATCACGCATTTGTCGAGAAGATCGCGGAACACCCCGTTCATGGTGAGTTGGAACGTCGAGGGGGCGTTCGTTAATCCAAACGGCATCAGCGTGTATTCGTAACTCACGTAGCGAGTACGAAACGCGTTCTTGTGGGAGTCGTCAGCGAACACCCGTCAGCGATCCGAACGGCTTCGTGAAACGTCGCCGGTAGTCGCATTCGGACCTCGCATTTAATGTCATGCTTCAAACCCGAAATGAATTGAGCTTTCTTCTCGGAGTCATGCATGTCGGTGATTTGATCGCATAACGCCATGAAGACCGACGCGTAATCCTAGACAGAACTCCACAAGCGCCAGTTGTCCAGCTTCGTGCGTGCGTTGTCCGAGGCGGATATTGGCTCGAACCGTTCACGCAGAGCTGTACCCCAAGCCTTCCACGTGCGAATCTTGGTCGATCCAAAAATCGCGGTTGACCCTTGGGCAGCAGACCCAAAGTTTCCGAAAAACCCCTGTGTGTCGCCTGCCGAAAACTCCCCCTCCTGTAGAGTATATCGCCACCAATCTAGCGCAGGTCCCCGCAGTAGTGATACATCCAATCGAATTTTTAAATCGTCAGCAGTGATCCCAGCGGCATTAAAATAAAGTTCCGCCAAAATTAACCAGCCCGTAACAGTAGTATTCTTATCTGTGGGGTTGAACGGGGGCGGCATTGTCGGTTTGATCGTCGCTGTCCTCACGATCGGCATAAACGCCGGTGCGGCTACAGTAGCGGCTGCTTCTGACCGAGCGGCTGCTGCTGTCGCTGCTGCTGCTGCTGCTTCGGCTGCTGCTCGTGCGGCCACGTCAGCTGCTGCTGCGGCTTCACTGTCCTTGTGCTCCTGTGACACCTCACTTGTGATTTCGTCCAAGACGGTTTCGACACGTCCGGTGCTGGCGACCTCTTCTTGGGCGGCAGATTTCTGACGCGAATCCTCTTGCGCCTGGCGTAACTCAGCAACTTCCGCACGAAGTCGCTCGTTGTCCTCCACCAGTGTAGCCATGCGTGTGTTCATGGCGTTGAACTGCTCCCGAAGCTCGTTGAGCTGAGCTTGGTCCATTTGGCGAATGCTCCGCCGAGGCAGGTGGAAATCCGTAATGTGCCTGTACTCAGGTAAGCGCAAACGCTATCGTAGTTGGGCGAATTAATCAGTCTAATTCGCGAGCAACCGCTTTGCAGCTTACGTGAGGGACTTACCCCCCCCCCCCCCCCCCCCCCCCCCAAAAAAAAATCAACTCACGAAAACGGGTGAGCGAGGAAAGTGGCTCTGAATACCAGGTGTTATGAATGAACAAGCAGAGTAGCGCGGAAATGAATAACGAGATGTTCACTCAATGAATGACGATACAAGGAATGGCAAGCCAAGATATAGGAACACCAGAGCTAGTCTAACCATGCGATGGGAAGGTTCGGGAAAGAGATCGAAGGGCCGCGAAGTGACGAAGCGACGCCCGGAGAACTCCTGAAGGTCGAACTTGAAGGTCTGGAGAAGCCGAGGCGATTCTGTCAGAAAGGTCTGGAACAGTCCCGAGGCTTCGGGTGTGTTCGAGCGTACGCGCTAGCAGTACCGCTCGGTAAGGAATGGAAAATTCCTTACAAATGGACAGTAGAAGTAACCCCCGGCCGTCGAGGAACGTTTTCCCGCTCGCGCCAGCCCAATTTCGTCATCATTGCGGCTGGCGCGATATTTTTCCCGAGCTCCAGGCGCTGTTCGAGTGAAAAAACGCAAAATGCCCAAATTAAAATTCATTTAAACTTTGTCTGTCGAGAAACACGAAAAAAAAAAAAAAAAAACGATTTTGTTTCGAAACACGTACTTTCGTCATAGAGGGCAGCGCATCCCGCGATGATTAAAAATGGCGGCTTTGTCTCTACCGCATTTACAGTCCCAAAGAAAAGTCAAGCCATAAACTTGTTGTCATTCCCGAGTCGCCTGAAAACAATAACATATATAGATAGCTACGGAGGTTTATTTTTGTGAAATGAATATGTCTAAAAGCGCGTCAAGGTACTCTCATAACCGCATTTAATTTTGTATTAATTTCAATACAACAAATATATTAGAAGTCTGGCAGTTGTCTTGATTTTTCCAACAAATGTATTTACCGGAAAACAATTCCGCCGAATCATAACTCTATAAGACTTGTCATGATCGAAACAAATTAGAGCACGCGCAATACAGTTTAATACTCAAGCTCCATAGGCTTAGCACCAATCCCGGATAGATTTGCCCTTTAGTATCAAATGTTTTCGTTTTTTTTTTTTTTTTTTTTTGCGTTTGTTAATATTTCAAAAATGTCGCACCCGATGTGCGGCCCGCTGAGCCCCAATTTGCTTATGTGATATAAATTCTCAAGGTCTCAATTTTGGAGTTTTGTGTGTGCGAATTCTAACGATTTTTTATTTGGGAATACTTTACGTAGTTCTCTCGAACTGTGCATGGAGCTTGGGAAAAATATCGCACCAGCCGCAATGATAACAAAATTGGGCTGGCGCGAGCGGGAAAACGTTCCTCGACGGCCGGGGGTTACTTCTGCTGACCATTCGTGGAACTTTTTTCCTGCAGTTTCTGACTAACGATGGATCCCGACTTATTAAACATGTTACGAACTCGCTAATTCTGACTGTTTTTATCGGTATAATTTCCCCCCCTTTTTTTTACCATTTTCAAAAATATATTTGAAAAAAGATCTCGTCAGATCGATTGCAGTAGGTTGCTCCGCAACCCAAAACGCTTCGTCCTAAACGCCCCTAGGGGCGTTTATCCGGGGGGATTATGGTACTGAAGTTGCAAACGCTTGGTACCATTCTAGATACATTTTTTTGCCGAGACTCGTGACACGAGAACAGCTATGTACAGTTTGCCCCCCCCCCCCTGCAATCTCAGTGAAATTTATGGTTTTGTTGCATCACAATCTAGCTTATAAACAGTTTCTACGAAGTTTGTATCGGATTCGTCATTTTTCCGAAGGGCGCATGTCGGCTGTGTTCTACAGGCATTTGACGTTGACGTCGACGTCTACATTGAGGAAGCTCCTCAAGCGACTTCAAGAGCACTAGTTACCACCCAAACCAGGTGCACTTTCCCAACCTCGCCTGGAAGCCACGCGACCAAATTGTGGAAAGCGCAAGCGAAAGGAGAGAGGAGATAGTTTCAAAATTGCGGAAAAAAAAACTTCTGCCCCAGGGCAGAAGAGAAATTATCCGGGGCAAAATGACGAAAAAAGGTTAAGCTGAGATATGACTCGTTGGCGATGGGTTTGTTCAGCTGCTGCTTTTTTGCAGGGCAGGCCCAAGCTCGCGAGGGAGAGTAAAGTGGTGGCGGTTGTATTTTTGGGGTGTAGAGGCCTAGTACACCCTTGCGGTTCATGCAACGCCACACGCAAGGTGGACTTCGCGATTAAGCAAACGTCAGCATTGCGTCAGGTTTGCGTCAAATTTGCCAGGGAGGGAAGCGACGGGGGTGTTTCCCTGACGTAGATGTCATCCGCAGATGGACCTGTTCTGTAGGCATGTCGACGTAACTAGGTTCGGGTACGTTGTGCCAGGTTTGGACAAAACTTTGCGGGCTGACCCTCGATCCGAAGCAAAAAATCTCGCACTTTCCTTTTTTGCCTGCAGAACGCAGCCATCATGTGCAAGGAAAACGACGTCACCCGATGTCCCAACAGGGTACAGTTTGCTTTTGTTTGATTGAGAAGTTGGCTGTGCGTTCGGAAGCGGTGACTCGAAGTCAAACCGTGACGTCGTGCCGTTCGAGCTACTTGATACACGCCCCAACGGGTCCATTATGCTCTGGAGGCGCGCAAGCACCAGTCTTGCGGCGGTGGGGGACACCGAATTTCGGCCCACCACGTCATGCCCACGTACTGTGCTTCAAGCGATCAGTCCCACGTCATCACTGTGAAATACAGCGTGGCTTGGCCGCCTTTGTGTCACAATACGCTAAAACACGCTAGCAATGCGTTACACCTATATGACTTTTGAACCTCAGATTCGAGATGAAAATGGTTTCCCGGCGGTGTCGCTGTTTTAGAACGGTTACCCGTGGTTCTCTTCCCCATTCAAGGGGAAAATTGCTGCCGCGGACTGTCCACGAAACTTTTCATACTTTCGTGGACAGGCCCTACTTTCATGGACACCACATCGAACTTTCACATCTCCCGTGGACTCCGTCAATACTTTCGTGGACTCCAGGCATACTTCCATGGACACACGCGAGTTTGAAACAAAAAAAAATACAGAACTGTACAGATGCTGACAGGAGGAAAAAAGCAAAATTAGGCGTAATCAAGTCCCTCGCAAATAGTCGCAAGCTACAGTATTTTCAAGCCACCAAGTCCGCTAGCTGTTTCGCGTGTTTATAGAAACTCTGAAGCGATCCTCAAAATTCATTTGAATGACTGTCACGAAGCGCTTTTCGTTGAACGATAAGTGTAGCAGACCGACCTGGTGAAATATCGCTACAAAAAAATCACGTTGTAGAATAAAGATAGATATTACGCTTACAAGATTAATAGAGCTCATTAAAAATCTCTGCCTACCAAGAATCAGGAATACCATGAATTCTGGCATTTACAAATATTTCAACTAGTACTTGGCTTGCATTTTCAACTAAGATGTGAAATCTCAGAATACCAATAACGTTTGGTGAACATGACTATATAAATGGAAGGTTTCACGTCTTGATTGTATTATTATTAAAATTTCGGTACATAGTAAAATAATAATAGATGAGAAAATGATATAACTATTTTACATTCACGTTTTTGGGAATATGTTTTTTATGTGTGAACGAGAAACATACTAATGCAAATAAAAACAAGTGATTCTAAAAATTATATTTCTTAGGTGTTTTTTTCACAGAATTACTAATAATGAAATTATTTATTATGAAGGAGAAAACAACTGCTGGTTGATGCTGGCTCGTCAAGCACGTGCATATTATGTTTTGTTGGGTAGCTCTGAGTTGAATAATAAGTGTTTTTACCACGCGGACCCTAATACACCCTGTTTTTGAAAATTCACTGCATATTTGAGTGCGGCTGCAAACTCTTCCCAGAAAAGCTCCGAGATTCTGTTTCAGAACTGGTTTCCGACACTGTAGCTCGCGATTACTTGCGACGGACAGATATTCTGGAGTATCTCGATTTTTGTGCCCGTAATCACTCGTACATTGCTGAATACTCCTTTTTAACTGCGAATATGGGTGTGTCCATGGAAGTAAGCCGGGAGTCCACGAAAGTATTGACGGAGTCCACAGGAGAAGCAAAACTTCGATGTGGTGTCCATGAAAGTAGGGCTTGTCCACGAAAGTATGAAAAGTTTTGTGGACAGTCCGCGGCAGAAATTTTCCCCCATTCAAGCGTTTAGTCCCCTACACCCTTCTGAGCCCTGATGCAGCTTGGCCTGAACGTGAATGCGACAGGTTTGCCTCTCCTGCGCCTGCTTCACGTACTCGATAGCTACCATAGCTAGTGTTACTAACCATTCTTGCCCCGCGAACTTCGCGAGACACTACAGCGACTTCAGTAACACGAACCCTCTGAAAATTTCCGCGCCCTACATTTATTCCGCGGCCCAAAAGAACGCAGTTTCGTTTCGTATCCGTCTCTGTAATGGCTAGACATCCGGCGGTCGCGAGATATGCGCCTTTCCTTCGCCGACCACCATGCACCGCTGCGCGGCTCTCCGCTCAAACGCGGAGTTTCCGCGCCCTTGCCCTGCTCGCGCTGTTCCTCGCCGGGGCGGCGTGCCCCCCCGCGGCATCTGCTGGCGGAAACCGCACCGCCGGGTTGCGTGGGCGAGCGCGGCTGCTGCTGCGGCAAATAGCGCAATCGGCGCAGCCTCAACAGGTGCGGCGGATCGGCCATGCCCCCATTCCCCCTTTCCCCCATTCCCATGTCCCCCATCCCCATTCCCCCACGTCCCCATGCCTCCATTGTAACACCGCTTGCCTTGCATTGTAACATGCATGTTTTCCATGTCACGTTCCCATGCCCCCTTGTCGCTTGCCCCTGAGCCAGCCTAGACTCGTGCGGGCCACCCACCCACTCCCCAGGCACTCGTGCTCAGGGGCAGCCATGCCAAGGCCGCGCGCACAGGGGCAGTAGAGTGCCTCGTCTGCCGTTTCCCTGCGCCCTCTGCGCCCTTTGGCCAATTCCCTCTGCGCCATGCCTCTGCGCCTTCTCCGCCCGACCCCCTGTGCCATGCCCCCTGCGCCATGCCCCCTGTGCCATGCCCCCTGCACGATGCCCCCTGCGACACAGCCACTGTGACATGCTTATTGTGTGAGATACCCTTTTCTCCATGCCCCTTACCGCATGCCCCTTACCGCACGCCCCTTACCGCATGCCCCATGTCGCATGCCCCATGTCGCATGCCCCATGTCGCATGCCCCATGTCGCATGCCCCATGTCGCATGCCCCATGTCGCATGCCCCATATCGCATGCCCCATGTCGCATGCCCCATATCGCATGCCCCATGTCGCATGCCCCATGTCGCATGCCCCATGTCGCATGGCCCATGTCGCATGCCCCATGTCACATGGCCCACGTCACATGCCCCATGCACCACTGATTCAATCAGCACATATAGCACTGGCGGGGTGGTGGGTGCGGAGGGGGAAGCGTGGGTTAGGAGGGGAGCGTGGGTGCTGCGGAGGTTCACAAGCAGCAGCGCAGAACCTTGAACATCCCATCCCAACAGTCGCTTCTGTCTCTCATGCTGCATTCGCTACGCCCTATGCACCCAGAAGCACCCAGGTGCACGTGTTGCAGGCAGGGGCAGGGCGAGTACAAGCGTGATTGGTGGCGGCCAGCAGCACAGCACCTTGATTGTCCAACCCCTTGCTCCATGCTCCATGCTCCATGCCCCATGCTCCTATGCACCCAGGTGCACATATCACTGGCGGGTGCGGGACGAGTGCTGGTGTGGTGGGTGACGGCCAGCAGCACGGCTCCTGCTACGGTGGCGTATGGGGAGAAACGCGGGCAGTACACCAAGGTTGCCTCAGGCGGTGTGACTCGTTATAAGCTCAACAGTTACACGTAAGGGTGACCCGATGCGTTACCTATGTCTCTTCTCCTCTTTCTTACCTCCTCTTTCCCCCACGTTGCTCTTCCCACTCCCTCGTCTCTTCAAGCCCCATCCAATGCCCTCGATAGTCCCCATTCATTCTTGGCTACGTCCGTCAGCTGTTGCCACGTCATGCAAGCCCTGTTGCCACGTCATCATTGCCCTGTTGCCAAGTCATCCGTGCCATGTTGCCACGTCATGTTGGCCCCATCAGGTCTGGCGACATCCACAAGATGCTGCTGGGCCGGTGCTCGAGAATGACCTCTTGAAGCCTCAAGGACCTATGCCCACTCTTAAAGCCCGCCACCACATACTTGCTACCGTGTGGGGCGGGGGGCTGCAGTGGGCCTTGAGGCTCCGGAACCATTGATCTCCCACCTTTCTCCCCTTCGGCAGGTCCGGCACTTCAAATACATTCTCTTAAAGGCACTCGCCTATCCTCTCCCCTCCCACCTCCCTCCAACCCGCAGGTCGGGCTACATCCACAAGGTGCTGCTGGGGCAGCGCTGGAAGGACGGCCTCTTGAAGCCCGCCACCACCTACTACTACCGCGTGGGAGGGGCAGCAGGGGTTGGGCCTGAGAGGGCGTTCAAGACTCTTCCCCGTTGGACCCAATCCATCAACGTGGCAGTCATGGGTGAGTTGCGCTGCGCGCGCGCGCCTGTGCACAGTGGACCACCCAAAGCCCGCCACCACTACGTCCACTACCATCACTTGCCGCAACCATCACTTGCCGCAACTGCACGCCGCCACTTCCTCTCCCTCTTTCTCCCTCACTTCCTGTCCACCCCACACTTCCCACCCCCCATGTCCCTCCGTCCTCTGCCTGCCCCTACCAGCCCACGTGGGCACAGCAGCAACAGCCGCAACCGTTGCCCGCCTCTCCCACACAACCCCACACCCCCCTCGTCGTCCTCCACACAATAAACCCACCTGCCCTTCCCCCCCCCCCCTCACCAAAACCCTCCACTCCCTCCCCCCCCCCCACCTAACCAACATGGACACAACAGCAGAAGCCCCCAGCGCCACTCACTCACCTCTCCCGCACGCTGCACTCCCCCACTCACTGCCTTCCCTCCTACCTTCCCACCCAACCGACATGGACTCCACAGCTGCAGCTGCTGCCACTGTCGCCCGCTTTTCCTATTGGCCCTCCCACCAACTTTTCCCCTCCACCTCCCCCTTCTCCCCCGTTCTTTCCCTTCTTCCCCCTCCTCCTCACCACCCCCCATGGACTCCACAGCAGCAGCCGCCACCATCGCCCCCTCTCACGGCCCACTCCCTCCTCATCGTCCCTCCACTCCACACACAACACATCTTCCCCCTGCAACCCCCCCTCCCCTGCCTCCCCTCCACACCCCCTCTTCCCCGCCACCAGCCGACATGGACTGCACAGCACCAGTCACCGCCACTGTTTTTCTTACTCCGTCCTAGTCTCCCCTCCCCACTCTCAACCACTCCCCCTTCTCCCCCTTTCAGCCCCTCCCTCACTCTCCCCCTTCCTCTGCCCCTCTAGCCAGGTGAAAGCAGCAGCAGCCGCCGCTACTTTCAACCGCCTCTCCCACACGCCCCACTCCCTCCCAGTCTTCCCTCCACGCACAAATACACCCCTGATCCCCCCTCCCACCTCGCACACCCCCTCTTCCTTCCCCACCAGCCAATGTGGATTCCACACAGCAGCAGCTGGCGCCGCCAGCGACTCCCGCATCTCTGGCCCTCCCACCCACTCCCCTCTCCCTCCTTCCCGCTCCGTTCCCTCCTTTTTCCCCACACAAATATTTTCCCTCCCCCGCCTTCCCACTGCACACCAGCTGACATGGACTCCACAACAGCAGCAGCCGCCACCGTCTCGCGCCTCTCCCGCACGCCACACTCCCTCCTGGTCTTCCCAGGGGACCTCTCCTACGCCAACGGCCACCAACCAGACTGGGACACGTGGCAGGCGCTCATCCAGCCAGCGGCGTCCCTGCGGCCGTGGATGATGGCTCCTGGGAACCACGAGGACGAGGCTGACGAGGGGGCGCCGAGCCTCAACCCCTTCAAGGCGTACAACGCGCGCTGGCCCATGCCAAGCACAGCTAGTGGGTCGCCCTCCAACCTGTTCTACTCGTTTGACAGCAGCAGCATCCACTGGGTCATGCTGTCGTGCTACTCGGACTACTCCCAGGGATCTGCCCAGTATAATTGGCTTCAGGTATGCCATGCTGGCAGTGTGGTGCATGCTGGCAGTGTGGTGCATGCTGGCAGTGTGGTGCATGCTGGCAGTGTGGTGCATGCTGGCAGTGTGGTGCAGGCTGGCAGTGTGGTGCATGCTGGCAGTGTGGTGCATGCTGGCAGTGTGGTGCATGCTGGCAGTGTGGTGCATGCTGGCAGTGTGGTGCATGCGGGCAGTGTGGTGCGTGCCGAGAGTGTGCTGCATGCCGGGAGTGTGGTGCATGCCGGGAGTGTGGTGCATGCCGGGAGTGTGGTTCATGCCGGGAGTGTGGTGCATGCCGGGAGTGCTGTGCATGCCGGGAGTGTGCTGCATGCAGGGAGTGTGGTGCATGCGGGGAGTGTAATGCATGCTGGGAGTGTGGTGCATGCCGGGAGTGTGGTGCATGGCGGGAGTGTGCTGCATGCCGGGAGTGTGGTGCATGGCGGGAGTGTGGTGCATACGGGGAGTGTGGTGCATGCTGGGAGTGTAGTGCATGCGAGCAGTGTGCTGCATGCCGGGAGTGTGGTGCATGCCGGGAGTGTGGTGCATGCCGGGAGTGTGCTGCATGCCGGGAGTGTGGTGCATGCTGGGAGTGTGCTGCATGCCGGGAGTGTGCTGCATGCAGGGAGTGTGGTGCATGCGGGAAGTGTCGTGCATGTTGGGAGTGTGGTGCATGTAGACATGGGCAAAAAAAATCGCATCGCGTCGTATTTAATCGCGTTTTTGCGATTGAGATGTTTTGTTTTTTGTTTTTTGTTTGTTTTGTTTTGTTTTGTTTTTTAATAAATCATCGCTCGATGCAATGAATTGATATCGCGCGATTTAAATTAAATTGCATTTTAATCGCGCTATAAAAAACGCGATTTAAATGCGATATGCGATTTTTTAAAAATCGCGCGCGATGTTGCACTGAAACCCACTCTGAAACCTACAACGAAAGCACACTGGTTATTTGCACTCTAACTTACGACTGCCCCTGAGTCAATTTCCCCACAGCAATGGTTTTTTCCTGTTTTTTTGGGGTGTTTTTTTAATTTTGTTTTAAAACGCGATGCGATTTAAAATCGCATCGCGCGATTTAATTAAATACCGCATGCGGTTTACATATTCATCGCGCGCAACACGCGATGAGCGATGATTTTTTTTCTAGAAATTAAATCGCGCGATGCGATTTAAAATCGTATCGCATTTAATTACATCGCCCCCCAATGCGATACGATTTAAATCGCAATCGCATTTTGCCCATGTCTAGGTGCATGCGGGGAGTGTGGTGCATGCCGGGAGTGTGGTGCATGCCGGGAGTGTGGTGCATGCCGGGAGTGTGGTGCGTGCCGGGAGTGTGGTGCATGCGGGGAGTGTGGTGCATGCGGGGAGTGTGGTGCATGTTGGGAGTGTGGTGCATGCCGGGAGTGTGCTGCATGCCGGGAGTGTGCTGCATGCCGGGAGCGTGCTGCATGCCGGGAGTGTGGTGCATGCCAGGAGTGTGGTGCATGCCAGGAGTGTGGTGCATGCCGGGAGTGTGGTGCATGCTCGGAGTGTGGTGCATGCCGGGAGTGTGGTGCATGCCGGGAGTATTGTGCATGCCGGGAGTGTTGTGCATGCCAGGAGTGTGGTGCATGCAGGGAGTGTGGTGCATGCTGGGAGTGTGGTGCATGCTGGGAGTGTGGTGCATGCCGGGAGTGTGGTGCATGGCAGGAGTGTGCTGCATGCCGGGAGTGTGGTGCACGCCAGGAGTGTGGTGCATGCCGGGAGTGTTGTACATGCCAGGAGTGTGGTGCATACAGGGAGTGTGGTGCATGCTGGGAGTGTGGTGCATGCTGGGAGTGTGGTGCATGCTGGGAGTGTGGTGCATGCCGGGAATGTGGTGCATGCTGGGAGTGTTGTGCATGCCGGGAGTGTGCTGCATGCAGGGAGTGTGGTGCATGCGGGGAGTGTGGTGCATGTTGGGAGTGTGGTGCATGCAGGGAGTGTGGTGCATGCCGGGAGTGTGCTGCATGCCGGGAGTGTGCTGCATGCCGGAAGTGTGGTGCGTGCCGGGAGTGTGGTGCGTGCCAGGAGTGTGGTGTATGCGGGGAGTGTGGTGTATGTTGGGAGTGTGGTGCATGCCGGGAGTGTGGTGCATGCGGGGAGTGTGGTGCATGCCGGGAGTGTGGTGCATGCCGGGAGTGTGGTGCATGCCGGGAGTGTGGTGCATGCCGGGAGTGTGGTGCATGCCGGGAGTGTGGTGCATGCCGGGAGTGTGGTGCATGCCGGGAGTGTGGTGCATGCCGGGAGTGTGGTGCGTGCCGGGAGTGTGGTGCGTGCCAGGAGTGTGGTGCATGCGGGGAGTGTGGTGCATGCCGGGAGTGTGGTGCATGCAGGGAGTGTGGTGCATGCTGGGAGTGTGGTGGATGCTGGGAGTGTGGTGCATGCCAGGAGTGTTGTGCATGCCAGGAGTGTGGTGCATGCAGGGAGTGTGGTGCATGCTGGGAGTGTGGTGGATGCTGGGAGTGTGGTGCATGCTGGGAGTGTGGTGCATGCCGGGAGTGTTGTGCATGCCGGGAGTGTGCTGCATGCAGGGAGTGTGGTGCATGCGGGGAGTGTGGTGCATGTTGGGAGTGTGGTGCATGCCGGGAGTGTGGTGCATGCCGGGAGTGTGCTGCATGCCGGGAGTGTGCCGCATGCCGGGAGTGTGGTGCGTGCCGGGAGTGTGGTGCATGCCAGGAGTGTGGTGTATGTGGGGAGTGTGGTGCATGTTGGGAGTGTGGTGCATGCCGGGAGTGTGGTGCATGCTGGGAGTGTGGTGCATGCCGGGAGTGTGCTGCATGCAGAGAGTGTGGTGCATGCCGGGAGTGTGGTGCATGCCGGGAGTGTGGTGCATGCCGGGAGTGTGGTGCATGCCGGGAGTGTGGTGCATGCCGGGAGTGTGGTGCATGCCGGGAGTGTGGTGCATGCCGGGAGTGTTGTGCATGGCAGGAGTGTGCTGCATGCAGGGAGTGTGCTGCATGCTGGGAGTGTGGTGCATGCCGGGAGTGTGGTGCATGCCGGGAGTGTGCTGCATGTCGGGAGTGTGGTGCATGCCAGGAGTGTGGTGCATGCGGGGAGTGTGGTGCATGCCGGGGGTGTGGTGCATGCCAGGAGTGTGCTGCATGCCGGGAGTGTGGTGCATGTCGGGAGTGTGGTGCATGCCGGGAGTGTGGTGCATGCCGGGAGTGCGGGGGTGCACTGGGTCATGCTGTTGTGCCACTCAGACTTCTCATGGGGATCCCCTCAGAGCAATTGGCTCCAGGTGAGGCGTGTCACAGCGTAGGGGGGGGTGGGGCGTGCTGGCTAGTTGGGCTAGTTGCCACGTTTCATGAGCCGTGGTATGACAGGATCCAGCACATGCATATTTGGTTCACATCCAGCCGCCCCTACAGGCCAACTTTTCTAAGGTCAACCTTGAGAGTGGAGGTGGTTATTCACAATTCTAAAGAACCGGCCACCTTAGCCAAGGTCAATCGCGCCATAACTCTCTGGGTGATATCGGAGTTATGGGCGGTGGTGGTGCCACAGGAACCCAGACAGCAGGCAGCGCAGCAACCAACTCGCACCTGTCTGCTGTCTGCAAGCCAATCCCCTCCGCGAGCTGACTTCACCAGCGTCAACCGCCCCATGATGCCCTGGCCTGGTTGATGGCAGCGATTGACAACCGATGGCACCACAGGAACCTGCGATGCACCAGCCGTGTACTTGCACAGCCCCCCACACTAGCCCTTATACAGGCTGGCTTTGTCAATGTTAGTGGCACCATCTGAAGGAACTAGCTTGGAAGAGAAAAGATTGAATTGAGTAGGGAGCCAAGAGGCTTTTTTGTACAAAACAAGGAGCAAGGAAGAGTTGGAAGGGAAGCTCTCCTATTGGCCATAAAGTGGACCAATGGAAGAGGTTGCTTGTAGGGCAAGCAACCACAAAGTGTTGTGCTCTCCGATTGGCCACAATGTGGACCAATGAGAGAGATTGCTTGGAAGGCAAGCAACCACAAAGTGTGGTGCTTGGTGATTGGTTGGTTCCTGAGACAAGATTGGCAGCAGAGTCAATCTTGCCCACCTGGAGGTGGTCACCCTGCACAAGCTCGCGAATGAAGTAGTGGCGAAGCTCATTGTGCTTGGAGCGCCCGTGGAACATAGCATCCTTCGCGAGGTGGATTGTGCTGGCGTTGTCGCACCAGATGGTGGGACAGCGCTGAGGGGCACCAAGCTCCTCAAGAAGGAAGGTGAGCCAGCGGGCCTCCTGCGCAGCCATGGTAGCGACATACAGCTCTGCTTCGCAGGAGGAGAGGGCAATGGAGGAAGAGCGGGTGGAGCGCCAGCTGATGAGGCCGCTGCCAAGAGAGAAGCCATAGCCCTGAGAGGAGCGGCGGTCAGGCCTAGAGTCAGCCCAGGAGGAATCAGAGTAGCCAGCGAGGAGGGGAGGGGAGGGGCCGCCAAGGGTAAGGACGTAGTCCTTGGTCCCCCGAAGGTAGCGGAGGACACGCTTGGCTGCTTGCCAGTGGGCGGCATCATGCTTGCCGGTACCAACGAAGCGGGCCAAAACACTAATGGGGTATGCCAGGTCGGGGCGGGTGGAGACCATGGCATACATGAGAGAGCCGATGAGCTCAGCGTAGGGGTGAGAGGAGGAGGAGGGGGAGGTGAGGGGAGTGAGGTGGTGCCCAACAGGAAGAGGGGTGACCTGAGGGGTGCCTCGAGGACCTGCTGCAGGTAGTGGCTCTGGGAGAGGGAGATGGTGCGAGCAGCACGGTCGCGGGTAATCTCCATGCCAAGATAGTGCTGCAGCTCCCCTAGATCCTTACACTTGAGCCGGCTGCCTAGCTCACGCTTGAGGCGCTCGAGCTCGGCGGAGTCGGCAGTGATGAGGATCATATCGTCGACATAGACGAGGATGTAGAACGGGGAGAGGGAGGTGCGGAGGATGAGGCTGGGGTCGGCGTGGGAGGTGCTGAAGCCAAGCTCGGCGAGGGTGGCAGCAAGCTTGGCATG